TTTTTTTTTTTTTTAATTTTCAACTTTTTTTAGTAGTTTAAATATGGGGGCGTTACTAATTTACATGCTTTAAGACGTAATAAAGATAAGTAACGATAAATAAAAATATGTTGAAATCATTTTTTTACATTTAAATTACATATTTACCCTCTCTTATTAATAGCCACATGAGCATATTTACTTATCAACGTCATAAATTCTATACTCGCAAACTTTATTTTGTAAAATTCGAATTTTGACATTTTAATAAAATAAAAAAAAGTTTGACATTACTGTCAAAAATTATATTTCAAATCAACTTATAATAAATTAAAATTAAAGTAGTTTATCCATAAAAAACACGTAATATTTATTTTGATAATACTAAAATAAAATTTATCCATAAATTAAAATAATTAAAATTTTATAATTATATTAAACATAAAATTTAAAATTATTGATATTAAAATAGTTATTAAATTTTTTTATTTTTTGAAAGTTTTAAGAAATTATTAGAAGGGTGAAATTGGTAATTTAAAGTTTTGTTTAGAAATGGATTGGTTTAGTCGAGGGAGATTTTAGGGAATTCATAAATAATTAATACTATTTTTTTTTTGTTATTTTTTTGGGTTACGTTATTTATTTATTTAATTTTTCAGTTGAGGACTCGAAGGTTTCCAATTCTCCGGCAAGGACTTCCCTCCGCCATTATATAAACGCCAATTCCTCACTTCCAAACTCACCGCAGAAACGAAAACCAAAAGGAAAAACGAATCTCAGCGGCGAACCGATTCGATTTTCCTTTTCATTTTCCTTCGATTTTCAGAATGACGATCGTCTTGGCGCAGCCGGAATGCGGTACGATTTCAATCTCTCTGTTTCATTTTTTCTGAAATTTTCATGGATTGATTAAGGCCTAGGGTTTTCATATCATTCCAATGTGTTCTTCGTTTCATTGCGTTCGTTCTTTGAGTTCTCTCTTTCCGCAATCTGCCTCTACTCGATCCAACGCCACCATTGATTTCTCATTTTCCAATTTTAGTTTAGGATCCTGTTTGTGAGTTTCTTTTTTCTTCTAAATTATAAATTATTTAGGAGCAAATTAGGAAGAAATGGATTAGAACAGAATAGAATATATGATATGGATTAGAACAGGTCGTGGTTTCTTTTTTACTTTTCCACCTTGGACAATAAAGTATTAAAAATGTTATTAAACTAAAAGAAAAATCTAAGCCTGTTTACTTTCATTTTGTTCTTCCTAATTATTTTACTCTAAATAAACTTTCCTTTGAATTAGTCAATTTTTTAAATAATTTTGATTTTTGAAAATTAAATTATAAATTATAATTTTCTTTTGATCGTCGTTAATAGTTTCTCTCAATTTTTTATTTTCGAAAATTGTATTTATCTTCTTACAATTTATTTATTATAGTTTTCATTTTTCCTTCCTTAACATTATAGTCAAATTTAAAATATAAACATAAGTTTTTTTTTTTATAATAATTATTATTAAATAATATATACGAAGAAATTCGTAATTGAAATAACTCTTATAAATTTAATTTAAAAAAATTATTCAGTAAATGGATAAAAATAAAAAAAGTGAGAACAAAGATAATTTTGAAAAGTTTAGATTTTTAAAACCTGATTACACTAATATTCTTTTTAAATGTATTTTTTATTTATTAATATATTTAATTAAAATTACAGGCTCTGAAGTTGTGGATCAGAAGCCAAAATCACCAAGCGAAAACGCATTTCTCGCCCCCGAAATAAACTCATTTGGCCATTCATTCAGGTGACTTTATGATCTCATTTTCATTTTCTCTTTGTTTATATATATATATATATATATATATATATTTCAATAAAAGAAATATATTTGTTTGTGTGGAAATATTTTTGTAGGAATTATGATGCAGAAAGTGAAAGGCAAAAGTCGGTAGAAGAATTCTACCGCTTGAACCACATCAACCAAACATATGATTTTGTAAGTACAAACTCTCCACAATAGTATGATATTGTCCACTCTGAACATAAACTTTCATGACTTTGCTTTGGACTTCTCAAAAGGCCTTCTACCAACGGATATAGTATTATTTGATTATAAACCTCGGACGTAGATCTTTCATCCATGCATTTTTAATTCTTTTCGAATGAGAAGAATTTGGTATGAAATAATGGTGTATTTGGGGAAACACAGGTGAAGAGAATGAGAGAGGAATATGGGAAATTGGAGAAGGTAGAAATGAGCATATGGGAGTGCTGTGAGCTGCTGAATGAAGTGGTTGATGACAGCGATCCAGACTTGGATGAGCCACAGATTCAGCACTTGCTTCAAACTGCTGAAGCCATTAGAAAAGACTATCCCAACGAAGATTGGCTCCACTTGACTGCTCTTATTCATGGTCCTCTGTTTCTTCTTCTTCATTCCTTTCCTTTAACACGTTCCCCTAATAACACCAATTGTTTGATTTTATTATGTGTTTCAGATCTTGGAAAAGTTCTTCTTCTTCCTAGATTCGGAGCTCTCCCTCAATGGGCCGTTGTCGGCGACACGCACCCTCTCGGATGTGCTTTTGATAAATCCATTGTTCATCACAAGGTGAGGTCGGAGGTTCGCATTTCCATTTTCACTTAATTTCAATGACATTCCTTAAAAATGCAGTACTTCAAAGACAACGTGGACAATAACAATCCAGCTTATAACACCAAATATGGTGTTTATTCTCATGGGTGTGGCCTCGACAACGTAGTGATCTCTTGGGGGCACGACGATTATATGTACTTGGTATAATATATACTTTTATCCTCTTATCTTAAAAGATGTATTAATTATATTTTCATTAAGAAAAATATATACATATATACGTAGGTGGCTAAAGAAAATGGAACAACCTTACCTCCGGCTGGATTATTTATAGTCAGATATCACTCATTTTATCGTAAGTTGAATGAATTGAGTTTGGTTTGTGCATAAAACCATGGTGGTAAGTTTAATGATTGAGGATTTAATTTGGTTGCAGCATTACATAAGGAAGGAGCTTATGAATACTTGATGAACGAGGAGGACGTTGAGAATTTGAAGTGGCTTAAAATTTTCAAGTAATTTTAAAATAAATTAAATGAAATGAAATTTCTTATTCCATTGATTGATTTGTTTGGAATATATATGTTCGCAGCAAATACGACCTGTACAGCAAGAGCAAGGTTCTGATCGACGTAGAGACGGTCAAGCCTTACTATCAATCTCTTATTGACAAGGTAAATTTTGTTTTTATTAATTAATCTAATAAATACTATGATTTTTCATAATTCAAACCAAAATTTAAATGCTGGGAAGGAATAGTTGTTTTTGGAATTGATTAATAATTCATGTTTTTTTAATCCTGTTGAATAACATTATGAGAAATTAAACACAATTTTTAAATTTAAAACCTATAATTTTATTAAAAGGTATTTGATGTTATAAATTCAAATCAATTTTTAGAATTAAAATATGTATAATATTATATTAAAAATTAATTATTATACAAATATTATAACAAAAAAAAAAAAAACGTTTATAAATGAATATAGAATGGTTTATATTCAATTTAATATTTAATTTCACAAATCCAACTAATTTCATGTTTTCTAAAACAACACGTGTTAAATTATTATTTAAATTAGACATTAATTTTAAAATATATTATCAAGCATATATATAAAATATGACTATATATTTTATTTAATTAATTAGTTTTAAAATTCTATTTTCAGGTTGGTTTATTTATTTATTTATTTTTGCAGTATTTCCCTTCGAAGCTTAAATGGTAAAGGATGAAGATGAAGGGCTGAAAGTAGAGGGAAATGTGCGGGAAGTATAAAATAAATGCTGTGGATTATAGCCTGAAAGTGATCCAATCTATGCCTAATTTTATTTTCCAAAGTTTCATCTGAATTTAAATTTCAAATATGAAATAAGAATTGAATAGTAAGAAGAGTTTGAAGGTGGGATTATTTTAATTTAGTATTTAAAAATATATTTATATATTAAAAATTTAAAATAAAATAAAAATAATATATTGAGTTGGATTAAATTATTATGTAAGTTTAGAAAAAATATATGAACAGTTTGAAGGTGTAGAGAGAGAAAAGGGTAGGTAGAAATGTGGATAATTATTTTAGTGCAAAGTGGGAAAGATGACATGCAACGTATACAAACGTGAAGTTGACAAAAATTCATATATATATGTTTAATGTCAATATCTATCTTATTTAAATATATTATCGTCTCCAATAAACTATTATATCTGTTTATGCTCAAAGATTTGTATTCTTCTTCTTTAACCTGCATTATTTTATGTACGAAAGTTTGAAGCTGATGCCCGTGCTTGGACTTATCGAATGTTTTCCATGCTTTAATTGTCACCCGATGGAATGTTACATTAGTCGTCAATTATTTCGGTTTAGCAACACACTGCCGTATCGTTATTGCTTATTCACTTTGAGTGAATAAATAAAAACAAAGTCGAGGAGCAGAAAAATCCAATAATATTTAAGGAGCCAATAAAATTTGTAACATAAAAACTCAAATTTTAATACTATGAAGTAGTATTTATATGCTCACTTAAATTAATCAGGTGAGATAGTAGTATTTATATGCTCACTTAAATTAATCAGGTGAGCATTTGGTAAGGTCGAGGCGAGAACATAAATGGGAATATAATTTATGCATTCGTTCATACAGATAATTCCCACTCCAATCCAGATGGAGTGTCTCAAAAATTAAATATTATAAAACCAATAAGACTAGAAAATTAATAATTTCAAAACGTCATTTTGTAATCCAAAATTTAGAGGCGTACGCGTAGCCTATGGAATCAATCCAATGGAGTCTAAATAATTTAAAAACATTTAATAAGTAAATTTTTGCAGGCCGAGCAAAGGCCCATTGGGCTATTTATAAGGAAATTAGCGGTTAAAGAGTATGAATCTGCACACGTGTGTTGCACGTGTCATATCGTCTCCGTCCTCCTCTCCTCCGGCTGTGTGTGTTCTTCACTTTCCTCTTTCATTTCACTTCCAAATTTATCACACAACTCCTTCAACTTCCTCGAATTTCAATTCCCACTCCGTTACACTTTCTAATTCCCACTCCTTCACTCTCATTTTCCACTCAACTCTCTCCAATTAAACTATTTCACCCAACAGTTCTCCCAAATTCAGCCCCTTCACCTTCTTTTCTCTCATTTACAATCTGGGTTTTGTAAATTTTGCAAAACCCATCCACATTTCCTGCCTTTAACACATACTAATTCGTCTCAGACATGGCTCAAACCCCTTATTATTCATTCCAAGCTATATTTATCGGCTCCTTTACCTTCCTCACCTTCAGCTTTTGTGTCGAACTTGATTTTAGTGACGAGTTCTCGATCATCAGCTATGATGGAGATCTATTCCATGGAGATTACGCCCCTCCTTCACCTCCCCCACCTGCTCCCTTCCCTCATCCTCCATCATTTTCCTGCGAGACTGATCTCAATGGATTCGGGTCGCTTAACACCATTTGCGAGCTGAATTCTAGCTTGACCTTCCGCGATGATGTGTATATTGAGGGAAATGGGAGCTTGTATATTCTCCCTGGTGTGATTTTAAGTTGTCCCGTCTTGGGTTGCACGATACAGATAAACATGACCCGGGAATTTACTTTAGGTCCTAATTCGCTGATAGTTGCAGGGGCTTTGAGAATCGATGCTCAAAACGTTAGTTTGGTTGATGGGTCTATGATAAATGTGACGGCGTTGGCTGGAGATCCGCCGGCGAAGACTAGTGGAACGCCGTCGGGTTTTCAGGGAGCTGGCGGGGGCCATGGTGGTAGAGGAGCGAGCTGTGTGACGGATAATACCAAACTCCCAGATGATGTTTGGGGTGGAGACACATACGCGTGGTCTTCTTTGGATGAGCCATGGAGTTTTGGGAGTAAAGGTGGAACAACTAGTAAAGGAGAAAGCTATGGTGGGGAAGGAGGTGGGAGAATTTGGCTTGAAATAAAGGGCTCAATAGAAGTCAGTGGCCGTCTTTATGCGGATGGTGGCAATGGCGGTATCAAGGGCGGGGGAGGTTCCGGTGGCAGCATTTACATCAAAGCTCACAGAATGTAACTCTCTCCTCTCTCCTTTCATGATTCTTTATATATTTTAAGCTTCTGTTCAGCTGATTGATTGAGATGGAACTATGAGTTAAGGGAAACAGTGTGACATTATTTGTAATTATAAGCCTTCGTACGGTTTCGGTGGTACGACGACTCGGAACTGAAATAATCAAATTGTTATCAGGAGAGTAATTCAAGGAGTTCAAGTTTCTTGATAGTTTGAGCTGAAGAAACTTTGTCATATATATCTTCAGTTTATATAGGATAGGTTCAAGCATTTAGTTCTAAATCATTATTTGCAAGTGATCTAGGAGCACACAGGTAATACAATTCCTCTGTGAAGAGCAGGACTGGAAGTGGCAGGTTAAGTACAATTGGTGGTAATGGATTTGCTGGAGGTGGAGGTGGAAGAATTTCCCTTAATGTTTTTAGCCGGCATGACAATACAGAGTTCTTTGCTCATGGTGAGGTTATATTGTGCCAATCCATTGTTTTTCTGAACGTTGTCATCGCGTTCTTGCTCTAATATCTTCATAGTCCACGGAAGGGAAAGAACGACAATGCATCGAATCTAATTCTGAGCTTTGACCGTTGTTTGTAGGGGGGAGGAGTTATGGCTGTTCGGAGAATGCGGGTGCTGCTGGAACATATTATGATGCCGTGCCTCGAAGCCTTATTGTCAGCAATGGAAACTTATCTACGCAAACGGATACCCTTCTTTTAACATTTCCCAAGCAGCCACTTTGGACAAATGTGTATATTCAAAACCATGCTAAGGCGTTGGTTCCTTTGTTTTGGAGCCGTGTACAGGTTATAGATCTCTCAGTATATTCTTGCATGCTTATGCGTATGATTACTTATTTTACGAGTACATTGTTCCGAGACCCTATAAATAAAGTTTAGGTGTGATAAGTAGTATCAAAGTATCTTATTTGTTCGATACCCTATACTTGAATGATGAAATGCTGCTGCCGATTCATCTCGTAGGTTCAAGGACAAATTCATTTATCAGTTGGTGCAGTCCTGTCCTTTGGGCTTGCACATTATGCCTCATCAGAGTTCGAGTTAATTGCAGAAGAGCTTCTTATGAGTAATTCCGTTATTAAGGCAAGTAGCGGAGCGTTTTGTTTCCCATCTGTCAAAAATTACTTTTTGAGCCTTTTTTCAAAAATAATTATTTGTATTAACATCTTTTAACCGTGGACCGATACCGATACGTCCCTTTTAACTTGTGGTGTCATGGGTGCGCCACGACACAACATCTTGGACACATGACAAGATTCAAACTATTTGTGTTCCCACTGACATGCAGATATATGGTGCTCTTCGCATGTTCGTGAAAATGCACTTAATGTGGAATTCCAAAATACATATAAACGGCGGAGACAATGATATCGTAGCTACGTCTCTGCTTGAGGCCAGTAATTTATTGGTTCTCAGGGTATTTCATCCTTCTTCACAAACTTCTTATTGATTAAAATTTATAATGAAGTAATTCATGCTCATTTATCTGTTTGTTTTGTCAGGAGTCATCTTCTATTCATTCAAATGCGAACTTAGGCGTTCATGGACAAGGATACCTGAATCTTACTGGACCAGGCAATGTTATCGAAGCACAACGTCTAATACTATCATTGTTTTTCAGTATCTATGTAAGCTGAATTATGGTTAACTTTCCTTCCGGTTTAGAATTCTCGTCGGATTCCATGTTTTTTGTTAGTACCCTTTGTTGAATGTCTACTTTGATAATATTAAGGTTGGGCCTAAGTCGTTTCTCCGAGGACCTCTGGACGATTCAAATGCCAATAAGACGTAAGTTTTCTAATGTATGAAAATGATCTGTTATTTCGTTTACGATTCCCTAATTTTTCTATAAATTGCAGGAGGCCACAGCTCTACTGCGAACTTTCTGATTGCCCGGCGGAACTACTTCATCCCCCTGAAGATTGTAATGTGAACTCTACATTACCCTTTACACTACAGGTGTCCTATTAGCCAGATTGACCCACTATGTAGTTATATTTGTGTGGGATATTATTATTTTTGAAATTTTCCTGGTCGGATTAGTAGATAATTCATTCTATCGAACATTCTTTTCTTTGTCTAGTCTGACATTTGGCATGTTTCGGCAGATTTGTCGAGTTGAAGATCTAACCGTTGAAGGCACCGTAACTGGATCTGTTATTCATTTTCACTGGGTCAGAGATATATTTGTTCATCTATCTGGTGCAATTAGTGCATCTGGTCTTGGTATGCATTTGTCTTCAGATTATTTTGTTAATATACCAGCAGCTTCATCTCAACTGAAGGTTGAGCATGTTCCGCATATGAATTGTGAGTATTTTGGTCTTTCACCGTGTTTTATGCTTGGTTGTGTGCAGGCTGCACTGATGGTGTGGGTAGAGGAAGAATTTTTGAAAACGGTCTTGGCGCGGGTGGTGGACATGGTGGGAAAGGAGGGGATGGATATTATAATGGCACCTTCATCGACGGTGGTGTTGCGTATGGGGACCCTGATCTACCTTGTGAACTTGGAAGTGGTAGTGGAAATGGTAGTCTTGCTGGTGAAACGGCAGGCGGTGGGATTATTGGTATGATCGCGACTCTGTTATTATTATTATTTTTCGATGTTATATTTACTTGAAATGACACTCCATCGGTATGATAATTGACAATTTTTCTGATTCCTTATGCTTATATATTGTTTAGTCTCACCAGTTACGGATTTTGCTATCTAGTCCGTTTAATTATCCTCCAAGATATAGTTTTTGTTATTATAGTGTGTGATCTCACCTCGGTTGGAGAGGAGAACGAAACATTCTTTATAAAAGTGTGAAAACCTCTCCCTAGTAGACGCGTTTTAAAAACCTTGAGGGAAAAAGCCCGAAAGGGAAAGCCTAAAGGGGACAATATTTGCTAGTGGTGGGCTTGGATTGTTACAAATGGTATCAGAGCTAAACACGGGGCGATGTGCGAATGAGGAGGCTAAGCTCCGAAGGAGGTGGACACAAGGCAGTGTGCTAGCAAGGGCGCTGGGCCTCGAAGGTAGTGGATTGGCAGGGGGTCCCACATCGATTGGAGAAGGGAACGAGTGCCAGCGAGGAAGCTGGGCCTCGAAAGGGGGGTGGATTGTGAGATCCCACATCGGTTGGGGAGGAGAACGAAACATTCTTTATAAGGGTGTGGAAACCTCTCCCTAGCAGACACGTTTTAAAAACTTTCATGGAAAGCCCGAAAGGGAAAGTCTAAAGAGGACAATATTTGCTAGCGGTGGGTTTGGACTGTTACAAATGGTATTAGAGTCAGACATCGGGCAATGTGCCAGCGAGGAGACTGAGTCTCGAAAGGGGTGGACATGAAGCAGTGTGCCAGCAAGGACACTGGGCCTCAAAGGGGGTGGATTTGCGGGGGGTCCTACATCGATTGGAGAAGGGAACGAGTGCTAGCAAGGACGCTGGGTCTCGAAAGGGGGTGGATTGTGAGATCCCACATAAGTTGGAGAGGAGAACAAAACATTCTTTATAAGGGTGTGGAAACCTCTCTCTAGCAGTAGCGTTTTAAAAAGCTTGAGGGAAAGCCCAAAAGGGAAAGCCCAAAAGGGAAAGCCTAAAGAGGACAATATCTGCTAGCGGTGGGCTTGGATTGTTACATATAGGCTTGATCTGCTCGTCTTCAGCCTTCAGCCTGCTGTTCTTCTAGAGGCATGTTGAAATTCTAGATAGATCCGAGATAATCTACTTCACATTTGATGCTTAAATAAAATAGTTACCTGTACTATTGGACATTGATAAAGAGTTTTAATTGTCCTGTCTGTGTAAGCTGTATCTACATGTGGATAATCAGTTCTAATGGCTAGAATATAGCATTTAACTCTTTTTCTCAAAAAAGAACAAGAACCCAACGTTTATTCTCTGCATCCTTGTACAGTGATGGGGTCGCTAGAGCACTCGGTAGTAAGTTTATCTCTCAATGGGTCCCTTAAAGCTGATGGAGAAACCTTCGGGCGAGATGTTGGAGGGCAAGTAGATGCGAAAGTGTTGAATGTTGGTCCTGGAGGTGGATCGGGTGGAACAATTCTTCTCTTTGTGCAAACGGTATCCCTCGGCGAGTCTTCTGTCATTTCAGCTGTTGGGGGACAAGGAAGTTCAAATGGTGGGGGTGGCGGTGGCGGTGGAAGGGTTCATTTTCATTGGTCAGATATACCAGTTGGGGATGCATATCAACCTATAGCAGTTGCGAAAGGAAACATTTATACTGGGTTCGTGCCGATTCATCTCTCCCCCCAATACATTAGTATTCTTTACTCACGATCAGCTTTTTCGAACACATCCAACTGGGTAGATAGGTTTAACAAATAATTATACGACTTTGAATAAGTTTTTAATTTGATGATCATGTTATTAAAAATTGAGTTAATCATTGAGGATTTTAGCTGTTTTTCTTCTCTCTTCTGTTTCAGGGGAGGCGTAGGAAGCTATCATGGTTCTGATGGCGAAAACGGCACTATCACTGGAAAGGCCTGCCCCAGAGGGCTGTATGGTATCTTTTGTGAGGTAGTGTCTCAGGTCATAACTTATCGTCATCATTCTAGATGTAATTTTAGGTCCTCCCACCGCCCAACGGGCCCAACGTTTTTGTATGTCCTAAAATTTTCACAATTTGATGCCCACTTTAATACATCTTACTTATTCTTTTGTCCATGCTTTGCAAATGAGACTGCAGGAATGCCCCCTTGGAACATTTAAGAATGCCACTGGATCTGATAGAGCTCTGTGTACCAAGTGCCCGACTCATGAGCTTCCGAACCGAGGCATTTATGTTAGTGTTCGAGGTATGGTCTTGCTGTGATCGTTATTGATTAATAGTTATACTCTTTTCGGGGTTAAGGAACATTTTTTTAATTATTTATAAGAATCATAGAATATGTATTGATACCATGGAGAATATATAAATAAGGTTAAAAAAAGGACTCCAGTTAGCCTATATATGAAGCAAAGAGCTTAATAGACTCCCATAACTCATTGATGCTAGTTGCATTTACTTTGAAGACCCTTCGGTTCCATTCAAGCCGAAGTTTTCTCAGCGTCATGAGCCGCCACGCATTAAAAGAAGGGGTGGTTCTGATTTTCTTCGTTCGATCTACCCAGCACACCAGTTTTGGGACATGGAGCAAGTCGACCGTCTTCTTTGCTGAACATCCCATGTATTTCTTCCCTTGACAGAAAACCCATAGGAAGACTTTCACTTTTTGGGCACTTTAGTCCCTAAATCGGCTTTGACACATGCAATGTTGATGGGAGCTAGATGTTCACAAAGTTTAGGGAGTTAGATTGCTGACGGAAAACCGATCGCCTCTATTAAGGATCCACGACTTGGAATCCTCCACATTTGACGTGTGCTTTGTCTCAATTAGGCCATGGAACTCAATCCATTATAAAGTTCCATCGTCAATCAAGTTCTTTCTTAGGGGGACATTCCAAGAAACTCAACGTTGGTCAATGAAACTGTGATGTCCCACGTCGGTTGGGGAGGAGAATGAAACACCCTTTATAAGGGTGTGGAAACCTCTCCTTAGCAGACGCCTTTTAAAACCTTGAGGGGAAGCCCGAAAGGGAAAGCCCAAAGAGGACAGTATTTGCTAGCGGTGGGCCTATGCTGTTATAAATAGTATCAGAGCCAGACATCGGGCGATGTGCCAGCGGGGAGGTTGTTCCCTGGAGGGGTTAGACACGAGGCGGTGGGTCAGTAAGGACGATGCGTTCCGAAGGGGGTGGATTTGGTGGGGTCCCACATTGATTGGAGAAAGGAATGAGTGCCAAAGGAGGGTGGATTGTGACGTCCCACATCGGTTAGGGAGGAGAATGAAACACCCTTTATAAAGGTGTGGAAACCTCTCCCTAGCAGACGTGTTTTAAAGCCTTGAGGGGAAGCCCGAAAGGGAAAGCCCAAAGAGGATAATATCTGTTAGCGGTGGGCCTGGGCGGTAACAGAAACTCTCGGGAAAGAGGACTTAAGGGCCCAGTCATTCACCCACTTATCCTCCCACAACCGGATCTTGTCACCCTTGCCAAGGTTTACTTGATACCATTTGTCAGCTGTATCACATGCCCGAAAGATGGATTTCCAAGAACCTTTGTTAAGCCCACGAGGCTTCGGAATCCAATCTCTCTTCCTTAAAGAGTATTTTGGGGCGATAACCTCCTTCCACACAGCATCATCTTCTTTCATTAACCTCCACTCTCTCTTTTTAAATTACCGATCCCGAGGTCCCTTTACAAGTAGGAACAGAAGTAGTTTTCCAGTTAACCAGGATGCTCCCACTTTCTTTGGATGCGCCTTTCCAAAAAATTCTGGAATAGACTTCTCTAGGCTTGCAACTTTCACGGGGCGTTTAAAGATGGAGAGATGATAGCTCGGTTTGCTAGGGAGAACCGATCTATTAAAGATAAATCAAAATATGCTGGGAAATAGGACTAAATGACTGTTAAAGGCTAAAGAAGCTATATAAAATTTTCATCTTTTGTGAGAAATTTTGAAGAAAACGTTTCACAATGCTTTATCTTTTTCTAAAAAGAAAATTTTGAATGCTTCCAATAGGTGGTGTTGCTGAAAGGCCTTGTCCCTACAAATGCATTTCCGACCGATATCACATGCCGCAATGTTATACAGCTCTAGAAGAGTTGGTATATGCTTTCGGAGGTCCTTGGTTGTTTTGTCTTATTCTTGTTGGACTCCTCATCCTTTTAGCCTTGGTGTTAAGTGTTGCACGTATGAAATATGTCGGTGGGGAAGAATTACCAGCAACGGTACCGGTTCGACAAGGTTCTAGAATAGATTACTCTTTTCCTTTCCTGGAGTCCTTGAATGAGGTCTGCCTTCAACTTGACACTTGAATAGCCTTGTGGAAGCAGGAATTTTGAGTTAGTTTTAAATATAATTTTGTCTTTCAGGTTTTGGAAACAAATCGAACGGAGGAATCCAAAAGTCACGTGCATAGAATGTATTTCATGGGCCCGAATACTTTCAGTGAACCGTGGCACCTTTCTCACTCCCCTCCTGAACAAGTAGCAGAAATTGTGTAAGCATTCCCAGAAATTTGTATTATCGAAGTTACCGAGTGTATGATGAACATCGTCTGAGAACGTGTTTTACTTGGCAGATTTGAAGATGCATTTAATAGATTTGTGGATGAGATAAATGATTTAGCTACTTATCAGTGGTGGGAAGGATCAATCTACAGTATTCTTTCTATTCTTTCCTATCCACTGGCATGGTCATGGCTACAACACTGTCGGAAAAAGAAGGTGCAACGTCTTCGCGAGTATGTTCGCTCTGAATATGATCACTCTTGCCTGCGTTCTTGCCGTTCACGTGCTCTTTATGAAGGTCTCAAGGTAAACGTTCACAAATTATGTTATCAAATGCATTGAGATAATTGCTAGGAAAGCTGTCTGTTATAATACTCTCATTGAGGTCAACTAAAACGTTCGCATTCTGGTCAACTGAATGACGTGGATTGTTCGACAACTGAATTGATAATGTTTGCCGGGGCGATACTTCCGTGGCGAACGGACTTTACAGATATAATTTACTTTTGTAATTCAGTGGATACCGTTTTTTAATCTAACGTATACTAATTATACTTGTTACTTCAGGTTACTGCTACTCCTGATTTAATGCTTGCGTATGTGGATTTCTTCCTCGGTGGAGATGAAAAGAGAGTTGATCTTCCTCGTCTTCAACAAAGATTACCCGTCTCAGTAATCTTCGGGGGAGATGGAAGTTACATGGCTCCTTTCACTCTACACAGTGATAATATTCTGACGTCGTTAATGGGCCAGGTTTGTCAGTTATATCGACTTATAGTTGAGAATTCATTCATTTCGATAAGCTATTCAATACGATTATAATAAACGAATGATTTCTCAGTCCATTCCACCGACGATTTGGTATCGGCTTGTGGCTGGACTCAATGCTCAACTACGCTTAGTTCGTTGTGGACACCTGAAGAAGACTTTTGACCATGTAGTTGGTTGGTTGGAAACACATGCTAATCCAACTCTATGTGCGTATAGTGTGAGGGTCGATCTTGCCTGGTTTCAGCCCACCGCTTCTGGATATTGCCAATTCGGATTATTGTTATCTGCTTTGGAGAACGATAACGTGCAGCCATATGCTGAAGGCCAACGTAAATTATTACTGTCCGAGCGACAGTCATGGTAATCATTTTGAATCTAACTTCCTCTGTTGCTACTTAACGGTTTATTTGAAATTTGTTCCCGTCGACACGTGCAGTTCACCTAGACGTATGGATAAGAAGCCATTTGACCAATTAAAAATAACCGAGCAGAAGATGGTTCAGAAACGAATATTGGGTGGAATTATACAGGGAAAGAGCCTGAAAGCTCTTAAAGAGAAGAGGGATATATCTTATCCGCTCTCGTTCACGATCTACAATACTAAACCGGTTGGCCATCAGGTGGTTGTTCTACTGAAGTTCGAATTCAGCTATACCTTTCGATAATGCCATTCTAACTTCGATTTCCATCGTCTTGTTCCCTCAGGATCTTGTTGGTCTGGTAATCTCCATGATTCTCTTAGGAGATTTTAGCTTGGTTTTGCTCACATTGTTACAGATGTACTCCATTTCTCTTCTCTATTTCTTTCTCGTTCTCTTCGTCCTTCCTCTCGGTCTGCTATCGCCTTTTCCTGCTGGGATTAATGCTTTATTCAGTCATGGACCTCGACGTTCAGCAGGTCTGGCACGTGTATATGGTCTGTGGAACATTACATCCATGATTAATGTTGTGAGTAATTCTCGACCGCCATTTTTAACTGAACTTTCAGCTCGGAGATATAGATCTGAATTTATTTTTGGCTATTTCTCGTTTCGTGCAGGTAGTTGCTTTCGTTTGCGGGTTAATTAATTATTTATACCGTTCAAATCGAAAAAATCCCAGCTTTCAGACCTGGAATTTTAGCATGTGAGTCGACTTAAATCAATTTTTCGGTCTCGTCATTAGAGGAAGTATTAATTTTTCGGTCGCAATTGTCGAAAATGCAGGGATGATAGTGAATGGTGGATGCTTCCTGCTGGATTGGCACTCTGCAAAATTATTCAAGCACGACTCGTTGATTGGCACGTCGCGAATCAGGAAATTCAGGACTTCTCATTGTATAGCAACGACCCGGATGCGTTCTGGCAGACGTGAAAAACCGTGCATTGATAGGTAAATGGGATTGATACACATCATATTGATTTTTTATAATTTAATTTGTTTGTATTGAGGGATAGTATAGTATAGTTTGCAAAGGTAAGGAACTTATGGTCCTAGTCAAAATTTGCATAGTTTTTGTTTACCCTTACATATACATAAATTGTTGAGTTAGTCTCTATCCAATATTTTTTCGTCGCCCCGTGTGTATTTTTGTACATATTATAGCGCGTCCCGCTTCGATGGTTGTTAGATATGTCTCAAATGTATTATTACCATATAACCTTGTGAATTCATCTACCGTTGTCATCTTTGTTCCCGTTTTCGATGCTGAATGTTTGTGTTTTTCAGAGCTCTGCAAGAATGGAAGCTTTAATTTTATAGATTGTTAGACTGTTTTGTTTCCACTTTTGCCTGAAGAAACTGGCTGACGAACCGGGTTTACGAGACGGTGTTGCTCGTAAGAACGATATATATGGTTTGAATTTTTTTGGTTGTTACTGTGATTACTACCATTCTTTGTAGAACATAAATTAGAACTTCCCTTTGTTCTGGTGTTCATGTATCAGAGTCTTGGGAGTCTTGCAAAAATGGTATTTACATTCAACTTTGTGATGGTTTTTGAGTAACGTTCAGCTGAGGGTTTTTGCTCGGGGGCGGTTTGGCTGCAACAAAAACTGCTTATCGAACCCGACTTGCAGGGTTGGCCGAAAAATGATACCTACCGAGCGTAAGTCTTGATTTTGTGCATGTGGGTGTTGGTTGGCTATGAGTTTATAGACCTAAAAGATATTGCCTTTGTATCGTTTTACTTTCGACTCATATGCGTGGAATTACCATCTTGAAGGAGACCGATGCGTCGGTCTCTACTTGAAATCTGATTTGGTCACATTAACAATCTCGGGTTCATCATTACCTTCTGAACACTTTAAAGGTACCTTGACACTTAGATCATCGATGATTGAAGTTTACACTTTTCCATCTTGTATGATTTCAATCTTACCGTCTTTCGTACCAAAAGAATTTTATGTTTTCCTATGATCGGGCTGCAACCACAAACTATCTAGGGATCCATGAAACACTTTATTCATCGAAGTGCATAAGGTATAAGGCATGACGGGAAATTCAAAGGCCTTGTATAAGGGGCTCGTCGTCCTCTTCAAAGTTTTAATTTTATGCCAAAAAATTTATGTATCCTTGATATATATTTTAATTAGTTGATTTTGGTATTGGTTCATTTTTATTATATACCAAATTTAATTTTATACGTAATAATTTTATTTATTTTAAAAAATATTAAATATATAAGAAAAAACATTAGTTGAACTTATAATTTAATATTGTCTTTTAGAACGTGTTTGAATGTAATTTTGAAGCACATTTATAAACATACAACCAAATATTAAAATATTAAAATGATTTTGAGTTCTCAAAATAGGGAATTGAAGTTTTTTGATAGATAAATACAAGTGATAGATTGTGCGGTACGCACGTGTCAACTACCGCATCGCGATTTCCTGTTCTGCATTCGCGCGAATTCCACAACTTTGGGCATACTTGCCATTTGGCGCTCAATTACCAAGCGCTTTGCAGAGATACTTTGTTCGATCATCATGTACAGAGCTGCAGCTTCACGAATCAGGTCTCTAATAGTTAGTAAACTTGATTTTTTTTGTTCACATTTCGTTCCAATGCGCATCTGAAGCAATCGAACGGTATATCGCATGTGATCGTTCTCGATGATTTGGCTTTTAATTGTGAGTTTCTTTTGTTATGGATCTGAATTCCATTTTCTGGAAGTCTTTCTACTTTCTCGAAGTGAACGTCGTGATTTACAGTTTGTTTCGTCGAATTGTAATTTTTAAGAAACCAGATTGGAGCTGAAGTGAGTGTTTGTATTCTCTATGGTGAAAGATAACAGCGTCGAAGTCTTTCGGCATATTGAGCTGCTAGGTTATTGATTTAATTGTAGTGACTTTTTATATCTCGAGTGTTAATAATATAGCGGCTATTTGTAACTATTCAATTCTTGTTGGTTTATTCTGTACGGCGATTCGGTTAATATTTGTATAAATGCTCGTCTTTGTCACTGTTTAAATCAGTGGAAACATGAACAATAGTTATAATTCTTCGAGTACTGTGCATGGTATAAGATCTTTGCAGAGACGTGCTTGTGTATTGAGCTTTTGAGTCTAACATGGCTTGAAATATGATTTTGACATCTACATAAAGACCTCGGGAATTAAATGCTTCGATGGATAATGCTGATAATTTTGCTTTCGAACATGAAACAATGGGCTGTATGGATTTGCCAGCTCTAGTGCTGTTGCCTCAAAAGTACAAATCTTCTGGGGGTGTCTTTGGCTGGTTGCTTCGAGACCGTTCTATATCATCTCCACTAGACTTTCCCTGTCGGATGTGAATCTTCCGTCTCCATTGCCAGATTATGTTGAACCTAGTGAGACGAAAATCTCAACTCTGCCAAATGGTGTAAGAGTAGCATCAGAAACATCACCGGTGCACCCATGTGCACCCATAGATTTGGTTTTTTCAAAATCTGTCCATGTGCACCCATATAATTAATGATTAATTACGTTTATTTATTAACATGCTGTTGGTTATTTTGGTGCCTTGGCAAATTCTCTTTTAGCCCCCGAGTCTGCTATAAATAGTCTGAGTGGTACAGTTTTGGAGAAATTTGTTGCTGTAAGTTGAGTAGGAGATCATAATATCATATTTATTTTTAGAATTAATTATTTGATGATGTTACTTCTTTATTGGTCATGCTTCTGCCTTCAGGAAAATTATACTGCAACTCGGATATTACTTGCAGCATCTGGCGTTGAACACGAGGAACTCTTATCCATTGCTGAACCACTTCTATCTGACCTTCGAAGTGTTCCTCGTGAGGTGCCAAAATCAGTGTACAATGGGGGCGATTATCGTTATCAAGGTGATTCTGGGGTGTGTATCATCTATATTGTATACTCTAGCATCCAGCCTTCATTTCCAGGCATCATTCGTTAACTGTTCTCTTTCAGGACGGGAGGACACATTTTGCTCTTGCATTTGAACTCCCAGGCGGCTGGCATAAGGAGAAGGATGCTATGGCCTCAACTGTTCTTCAGGTCTTAACAATGGATATCTATTGTGCTTAAGTGATTTTTATGACATGGGGGTTTAGATCATACACCATTAGTTGTTTAGTCCATTTTGCAATTTTTCACTGTGAAAAGACAAAGGCAATAATGTATCTCATCTCTTAGATGCTACTGGGAGGTGGAGGGTCCTTTTCAGCTGGTGGACCTGGAAAGGGGATGAGCTCTCGGCTGTGTAAGTCCTAAATTTCTTTGACTTTGACGGTCATGCATCTGAGATATTTTTCTTTTCTTGGGGTGGGGTTTGAAGGGAGGTGGAGGGTCTTTTTCAGCTGGTGGACCTGGAAAGGGGATGAGCTCTCGGCCGTGTAAGTCCTAAATTTCTTTGACTTTGACGGCCATACATCTGAGATATTTTTCTTTTCTTGGGTGGTGGGGGTGGGGTTTGAAGGGAGGAATTTGTATTTCCTATACTTGCATGTCAAAATATTGTCCTTCACGCCTGCCAAGTCAGGTCACATAGATAGTTTATTATGCAATTATTTCTAGACAGACATAACCTTCTTCTGCATGTATATTTCTTAATTTACGCATATTGTATGTTTTCTAGTGTTAACTTCTTTGTAATTATCGATGTGGTAAGCATATCTTCAGGTCTTAAATGAGTATCCACAGGTCCAATCGATTTCAGCATTCAGCAGTATTTACAATAACACTGGCATATTTGGCATCCAAGCAACTACTGTAATGATTCTCTTTGGATTGATATTTAACATGATATAATGCAGAATCACTATGTGGATCTTGATGGTAGAATTGTTAGGTTGATGATATACTTTTTTGAGGGTTCTAATTTCGTGCCAAAATCCTTCCATATTGCAGCTAGTGAACTGTTAGCCATTGCAACGCCTGAAAAAGGTCATTTGTGATTCTCTCTTCTCTAGCATTTCCACAAGAACCATTTCATCTAGCTCACTGATAACATTTCCCTGTTTACAGTTGAACAGGGGCAGCTAGATCGTGCCAAATAGTCAATGAACTCATCTGTGCTAATGAATTTGGAATCCAGGGTATGTATCATTGTACTTTCTTCTCGTTGGCCTTACCATGCCTATATCTTAGGTTGATGAAATAAAAATAATACAGTTTTGAAAATGTTAATCTTTGAGAATGTGTCCACTGATTGTGGTTGTGGAATTGTATCTTGTAGGTGGTTGCTTCAGAGGACATATAGGTCAACTAGTTTTGACATATGGTGAAGGGTACGGTCTGAATCATTTATTGTAGTCTTAATCTGATGCACCATGGCCCATTCATTTCTAATTCATTTCTCTTGTACTAGGAGGGTAAATCTATTTCAAAGATCTGAGATTTAGTTATGCTGTTTTCCCTCATTGAACTGCATTCTGTTACATGATCATTTGTTCACATTTTCTAAATGATATATATCATGCCTCCTGGTTACGCACTTACACTCTAGGGATTCTGGCCTTAGTTAAGAGTGTTAATTTCTTAAGATCTGTTAGAAGTTGCAAATATAATGTGAAGTGATTATCTTTGAATTTTGAGGTGAGCTTTGTAGTTACACCAGCGATCTGTCTTCAAGCCACGCATGCTCATTTTTAATGATCATTTGTTATGTCTTAAATATATAATGTATCCCATTATCCAGGAAACCCGTGGAACATGTCTTGAAAGCTGCGGACGCTGTAACTCTAGAGGATATAGCTTCAATTGCACAAAAACTTCTCTCTTCTCCATTGACAATCGCCTACTTATCATGCTCAATTAGAACCTTATGATATCTGTTTATCTTGCTTCCTCCCGGAAAAAAGAACTGTTTTATTAGCTCTCGATATAACTATTTATTTATATACTGTTCTGCAGTTAGACATGTTCCAAGCTATGATTCTGTCAGCAGCAAGTTTAAGTCAAAGTGACCAATCGCTTCTTTTGAATCAAACTAGTCTGGCAGACTGGCATCGAACATAGGAATTGCTGTCTTCAAGCCTTGTACGGTCACTCTGATTTCTGAAAACAAGGAAAAGCATTAAGGTCCAGTTTATCTTTCTCAATAATTAGTACATTTGAGCAAGCACCTTTTTGTTAATACCTGATCTCTGTTGATGCCATGTTTTATTCCTTCTATCTAGTAGTGATGTATTTTCAGTTAAAACAGTTTTATCTTGAAGAAAGTTCATGTTCTGAAAGCAATTTCAGGACGTTTGTATTTTGGAGAAATATTCTTACTGAACATTGTAATTTTCCATGTCTCAAGAGCAACAATCTGAGTTTTTTTTTTTTTTTAAATATCTCAACAATAAAGTGTTATTTGCAACACATGCGTGAGCTTTTGAGCATTTTAAATTACGTCAGTTTTTTTTTTAAAGTATAGTTAGAGTAAGCTGGGGACCTACTTTGTTAGTTTGAACGGTCAATTTTAGATATGCTTTTAGACACACACAATTAACTTTAGAGAAATTGCAACTTTGTGGCACAAGATTTGAGTTTAGTGCAACGTTTATTCGTTATTCAGAGCTTTTCTTCTTTTCCTTTCTTTTCTCTTCTTTTCATTTCTTTTTTAATTTTCAGTTACTCAGATCTCTGCTAAAGGATTGGTTGGATACATACGAGGTATTATTCTCCAAAGGTACCTGTACGAATTGCTTGAAAATGTGTATATTTCTTCTGAAAGATGCCTCCAACATCTAACTTCAAGATGATGGATATGATTCATGCATAATCTAAAACTACTAATTATATTATTATTCTTCATATTCATTGTTTCATTTTCTGCCTACACACATGTCAGCAGCAAATCTAATAATTTGCCAACTTTGCTCTCTGATTAAGTCGCCATTTTAAGTTCAACAACTTTCTTTCTGCATGATAGATTTGATGCCTTAATTAATTGAACTATACTTTTAGTTAACCTCTTTTGTCACATTTGTTTCTTCTATTACTCGTGCATATACAATATACTTATTAAACCATATATGTCATATTATGGTCTCTATAAAATTATAAGATTCATATCCCAATAAGAAAGTATATATGCCTGGTGTGAGAAAGCCAATGTGATGTGGGTCCACTGTTTGATTAGTCAATGTCAACCATAAATGGATAATGTGACTAGCCATATATGAATAGGGTATAATCCACTTAGGTCTTTACGGAGAATATATACTTCTCTACTCATTTCCGGTAATTTATGTTTAAAGATAGTTTCGTGGTTTCCATTCATTTATATTTAGTTTACATTATTATTCTTGGTCCCCACATGTTTTGGTCTTTATACTTTTGTTTTATATATCTTTTTATTATAAACATATTAATTCAGTTTCCATGTTAATTAATTAGATTAGATTGTGACAAGAAAAAATGATGTGATACGATACCCATGTAAAAGTTATGTGCTGTCGGGATGTTGTATACAGTTGTATGTAAATGTAGAATGACTTTAATGTGATGTCACCTAAGTGCTTAGTTATGCTTTAATTTTATTTTGAAAAGAAGTGTTAAAAGAGATGAAACTAATGCATGTATATAAATACAACAAATGCAACAAAAGAAAATTTGGTAGAAAGCAAAAAAGAAACCAAATGTAAGAGAATAGGGTTACTGTTACCCAAGATAGGAATAGGAACATTGGTGGCTTTTTTCAGACCTTAGGTTATATTGCCAGTTGTAGCAAGAGTTCTAGCTTTTGCATTTGTCTTCTTTTCTTACATTTTTTCTTGACCAAAAATCTTGCACATTCAGATTTGTTTCACACTAGTCAAGTGGCTTGTTGATTCAAAGTTGCTCATGTTTGTTTGATCAAAAGAACATTTGAGATATTGAAAAGATAAGTGGCAAATAAGATGACATGTAGTTTCTTAGCTTTAAAATATGATTTAGATTACAGGAACGAAGTGAAGCAGTTCGACTCATCAAGAAATGCAAGTTTATTGGATAGAAAAAACTTGGTTGTTCTTGCACGAAAAAGAATGACCTTCTCATTTGAACTTTCAAACCAGGTACTTGAGACATACTTTCATTCACACCTTGGGATATTTAGCTGTTATAATAAATGTGACATCAATGATTTATTCCTCTATTTGTAAAAGCTTTACACCGAGCAAATCTATTATAGGAAACTTTCATTTTTTCCCCCTTTATCCTTCATGTTTTACCTTTATAGTTACCAAGAACAATTCCTTATATAGGATAAACAAGAGCGAACTTTAACTAGCGTTCAAACTTTCTTAATATTCTTAGATTTTAAACCGAGTAGATAGAGGTATGTTGAAGAAAGATTATTATTGTTTAAACAATACTTGAGAGGGATTTAGAAATGGTGAAAATCACGTTTAAAAGTGTAGAATCAAACACTAAATTGATTCGAGCGTGACGTATTTGAGTTAAAAGATGTCGAATATAAAGAGTAGTAGACAAACAAAGAACACCGAGATAGCGTCTTTTTTATTTTATTTATCTATTTTTTTATTGTTTTAATAAAGAAAAGAGTAAAGAAAAGAAAAGAAAAGGGGTTGAGAGACAAAATGAAGAAGCATGGGCAGAAATCTGCTGGGGGAACACATCATAGTTAAGAAGCTTCATCATGATTTGCTTCTTGACTGATCAAAGGAAGTATGTCATAAACGTGAAGACTAACCATCATCTGATCAAATTGCTTTTGTGGGCCACAAGATTTCCCAATTTTAGACCACGTCATTCCCTCTGGGCTCCACACCCTTTTTATTTCCCTGTCCACAGTTTTTTCTTTTTTACCTTTTCTTTTCTAAACCCTAATTAATTAATTAATTAATTAACTCTAATGCCTCACAAACCCATCTCGAGAGAGAGAATGAAGACTTTGTTATGTGATTAATTATATTTATATGATTATTTAAACATGTAATTGAAAGGGGTGGTGGTGGTCCATCAAATATACTGCTCATTTGCCTTGCATATCAAGCAACCTCCTTCTAATCTCTCTCTCTCTCTCTTTCTCTCAGCAACATTCATGGCTAAAAGCATAATGACCAGCACCTCGGCTCGATACCCATGTGAGTTTCTCTCTCTCTCTCTCTCTTTCTCTCTCTAGCATTTCCTCATGAACAAACTTAGGCTCGAAAGTGAAACAGTCATGCAAAAAATGTAAAAAAAAAAGTACACAGAAAAAAGACAAAAACAAGAGGTGGGTGATTGTTAAATTTTTTTTCTCTAGGATCTGAGTTTGTACTCAAAGATTTTGCCACGTTCAAGGCATCTTATCACTTCAAGTTGGTAGTCGGTTGTTTTATCTTCATCTCCAAAACCCTATCATTTCTACCCTCTCAACCTAACCAAACTATGTTCAAGTTTAGTTCAGACAACGAGATATAAATCTCGAACTTTCTAATCAAAGATACATGTGTTAAAGAATTGAGTTATGTTCAAATTGGTTAAAGAAAAGGAGAGATAGTGGGTTGTGTGTGAAAATGGAGAAGTGGGTGTGGGCTAAAACAAAACGAAAAGATAGGACGGATGGAGTGAAATATTCGAAAGCCTTAGGAATTGGGCCTAAGAGATTAACAGCTGTGAAAGAAGGCCGTTTTTGTTTTTGTTTTTGCCTTTTGCTTTTGTAGTCAAGGGTTGAAGCAAAAGAAACAAACAAGGCAGCAGACAGAGATCAGCTCCTTGAGCCTTTACAAATCTCTCTCTCTCTCTCTCTTTCTTTTCCCACAAACCGCCTACATATGATATCATTTGATATTATGTTATCATTTTGTTCTAAATTTCCCCAAACCCTTAAAGCTTCTGTGTAGGTTTTGAGGCTCACCTTTTTCTTTTCCCTTCTCTCTCTCTCTCTCTCTCTCTCTCTCTCTCTCTCTCTGTTCAGTTAAAGTTAAGAGCAAATTCTGGTTTGCTTCTCTACTTCTTCTTTCTCTTGTTAGAGCAAACCTTATAGCTCTCTCCAAACCCAAATCCACAGTTTCTTCTTCTTTCTTTCTTTCTTTCTTTATTTATTTAGGGTAAGTAAGTAAGTAAGTATATAGCTTTTATCTTCTCCTCTCTGTGGGTTTCAACAAAATTGAAGCTTTCCCTTTATCCTCTTTCTATTTTGAACAAAACCCAGATCTTAGATTTCAAATTCAATCACTGGGGTTTCAAAAAGTTACCTCCTTTTTGTTTACAGTGATGAGAATTCACAATACCAAGTTGATATCAAGCTTGAAAGATAGAAGAAGAAGAAGAAGAAGGAGCTTCTAAAACGACGGCGTACAAAGAAGAATATCAAAGGGACGTTTGAGCATGAAGAGCAGTTTAGGGAGCATCACCAGCTCTGATCTCATAGATGCCAAGCTTGAGGAGCATCAAAAGTGCGGATCAAAGCAGTGCCCAGGGTGCGGACACAAGCTTGAAGCCAAGCCGGTAAAAAAAACACTACACCTTTTACTTTTACTTGGGTAAAAAACAATATTTGTTTTGGGTTTAGGTGGGATTTAGTTGGGAGATTTTGGAATGGAGTGTGCAGGATTGGTTAGGTCTACCGGCAGGAGTGAAATTTGACCCGACAGACCAAGAACTGATAGAACACCTTGAAGCTAAAGTTGAAGCTAAAAATGATATCAAATCTCACCCTTTGATCGATGAGTTCATTCCTACAATTGAAGGTGAAGATGGGATTTGCTATACTCACCCTGAAAAGCTTCCTGGTAATTCTTTTTCTCTCTATCAAATGAAAAAACAATTTGGATAAACAGGAATATTTTTAGTCAAATTTATTATTATTATTATTATTATTATTTTTTAATTTTTAATAAAAAGAGGGAAATTATGTTTGCTTATATATGTATCCAATTCAGTTGGGATTTTTTGTTTTTTTGTTCTTCCTTTCAAGTTGGATATGACTTTAGAGGAAAACCCATTTTGCATTATGGTTGCACCTAAGCCAACCAACTTGGAATTTTGCTAAATTCTTGTCCCAATTTTTTTTTTTTTTTTTTTTTTTTAAA